TTCGGGTCATTTCAAGGAAAACACAATTTGAACACTCGACTCTGCACTTTTCATATTAGTTGTATGCTTAACAATCGATTTGTTGAAATTTTTTTTTTTTTTTTCATAATGAAAAATTATTTCCAAATTCATTGGAAAAATTTTAGTTTTTCTCAGAATCTACTGATTTTCAAAGAGGGGTATCAATTGAAACACCGCTTACTGTTTTGTGTGCCCGTATACATCGTTAGAGTCTTTTTACTTAGTCCCTCTGTCTACAGCTTTCGAAAAAATTTATGGGGGATACTTTGACCCATTTTTTTTTATTTCTTTTTTCGTTTTCTCGAAAAATGCCCCTCTCAAATCTGAGTTTTTGGTTTCAATGAATAGAAAGGTTTCGAAAAACTCCCTACACGAGCGGCTACGACCATTTTTTTACACATAATAATATGGCCCTCGGAATATTCAAATTTTTGGTTTTTGACAGTTTTTACGCTTGTGATTAGCAAGCGTTGTCAAATCAGAATGTAGCTTTTTTTGGGTTAAAATCTAGTTTAATTAAACCAGTTGAATCACATGATGATGCTAACATTTTTATTGCTGCTCTGCTATCATGCTTAATTTTTTGAAACTTCAAATTTAATTACTTGAAGGACACTAGCTACTACGGTTGTTTTTTTTGCTCAATTTGGTGTGTGCTCAAAAATCGACGGCCATATTTCAGCTTCGTAAATTTCGTTCATTTGCTTATTTGAGTTTTAAATATCTTACTTGACATGTTTGCTAGAAATCCTCTTTGGTACAAACAGGTAATACAAAAGTCTTTCAAAAAAATTAGTTCTTTTCTCCAAAACCCTCCTACCAAAAACCCAGGTATGGCAGAGTAGTTTTCGTTTCAAAAAACGGTTTAATCGACACAACAGATTGTTAGAAGTTCACTTTTATATTTTGCTGCGCCCAATTTGTTTTCGAAAAAAAAATAAATTGAGTGTTTTTTGAAAGTTTTTTGCCTCTTCTCGAAGATAACCGTGCCAATTCTCAAGTTAAATGATTAACCAAGGAACCCAAGATGGGAAATTTTCTCTTCTTCACCGGCCATGAACTTGGTTTCAACAGAAACTTGTTAATGAACATTTACCGCTTTATAGAAACTTTTTGAATTTTCTGAAAAGCTGCCCTATAAAATCTGAGGGCAAAATTTTAATCGAAAAAAGCGAAATGAAATTTTTTCCAGCAGAAGCGGCTACTCGTTAATTTTTTGTAAAAGAAAGGCGATGTATTTCAAAAAAACAAAAGTTTTGGGCAAAGTCCATTTTTTGAAATTGCGCGTCGATGTTTTCAAAAATTTTGGCGCACCTGGTTTTTTAGTTATTAAAATATATTTTTTCGACTTATGCTTTTTTGTAATGTATCGCAAGTGATGCGAAGCCCTGCTTAACTTCTCTGTAAAAATTTTGATTTTTTAATGACAATAATTTGCTTCGTCATTTTCATTTTTGGATCATTTGATGTTTAACTCTGAAACTACAAAAAGTTTGTTTAAAGCTAGCGTTTGTTTTTCTCGTCTTTTTTCCTGATGTTGAATTTTGCGTAATTCCAAAAAAATATATATTTACGTAATTCCAAAAAAATAACTGATGTCTTACCGCATCTTGTTGGCTTAGTGAATACTCAGAAAAAACTAAAAGGTTGTTAAATGCTAGTAGTTGATTCTCTGAGATTGAGTTTTTCGTATTTTCAAAACAATTGATTATGTGTATGACAACAATTTTGTTCGGCCTTTTTCGTTTCTGATCAATTGATTTTTAACCACGTGTTGTTGGCATGGTAAAAACTTGAAAAATATTAGAGGCTTGTTGAATGCTAGTGGTTGTGTTTCTTGTCTGTTTTTCTGAGATTGAGTTTTTCCTTATTTAAAAAAATTGATATTTTTATGACTACAATTTTTTTGGCGGTTCTCATTTTTGGTTCAATCAATGTTTAAACTCGTGCTTTTGGCATAATAAAAATTCGGAAAAAAATATTAAAAAAACTCTTTAGTGTTTGTGGTTATATTTCTTGTATGTTTCTCTGAGATTGAGAAATAGTCAATATTTTCATGACAAGTTTTTCTTTTCGGCATTTTTGTCTAACGATCGATTGGTGTTTAAAAACGCTATGAAATTATTAAGAGCGTGCTTAATGCTGTTGGTTGTGTTTCTCGTGTGTTTTTCTGAGATGGAATTTTTCTTAATTTCAAAAAAATGTTGAACTTTTTTGACAACGATTTCCTTTGGCATGATTTTTTGTAAAATCATTTGATGTTACGCCACGCGTTGTTGGCATGGTGAAAACTCGGAAAACACTGAAAGTTTCTCTAATGCTTGCTGATATTTTTCTGGTCTGTTTTTCTGTGATGGAAGTTTTAGTAATTCCAAAAAAATGATAACTTTATGACAACTATTCCCATTGGTTTTTTTTTGTTTTCGAATCAATCGATGTCTAACTACGTTAAGTAGTTTAGTAAAATTTTGAAAACAATTAAAAGTTTGTCAAATGCTATTGGATGTTTTCTCGTCTGTTCTTCTGAGATCGAAATTTTTTTCGTATTTCAAAAAAAACTTGAATTTTTTTGACATTTTTTTGGCATTTTTAAGAGCAAATGATGTCTAGCTTTGTGTTTTGTGTTGTTGGTTCAGTAAACGCTAAAAAATTCTAAAAGGTTTTGTGATGCTAATGGTTGTATTTCCCGTCTGTTGTTTTGAGACTGAAATTATCATATTTTAAAAAAAAATCGATTTTGTTGTTGATGACATTTCTTTTTGACTCAATTTGTTTTCCGATTTGTAGGCCTATAATTACATATTTTTGTCGTAGTGAAAGCTCAAAAAACTCAAAGCTATTTCAAAGCTTGTTGTTATGTTTTTCGTCTGTTTTTCTGAGATTGGATACTTCGTACTTCCAAAAAGTTGTTAATATTTTTCTGACAACGATTTTCTTTGACTTTTATAGTTTCCGGATCAATTTACCTCTCATTAGGTGTTGTTCACTTAGCAAATGCTCGTAAAATGATGAAAGCGTGCTAATTAGATGTGGTTGTTTTTCCCGTCTGTTGTTTTGAGATTAAATTTTTCATATTTAGAAAAAAAATCGATTTTTTTTGTGACAACAATTCTTTTTGGCCCCTTTTTGTTTTCGGATCATTAGGCATCTAATTACACGTTGTTGGCTCAGCGAATGCTCGGAAAATACTTAAAGCCTGTTAATTGCTAGTGGTTATGTTTTTCCTCTGTTTTTCTGAGATTTGATTCTTCGTACTTCGAAAAAGTGTTGATTTTTTGTGACAACGATTTCCTTTGGCTTTTTTGTTTCCGGATCAATTGGCGTCTAATCACGTGTTGTTTGCTTAGTAAAAGCCCGGAAAACACAAAAAGTTTGTTAAATGCTAGTGATTGCTTTCACTTTGTTTTTCTGAGATTGAAGTTAACATAATTTCAAAAAAATGATATTTTTTTGACAACAATTTCCTTTGGCATTTTTGTTTTCCGATCAATTGATGTCTAACCACGGGTGATTAGTAGCTTAGTGAATGCCTGGTTTAATGCTAGCGATTGTATTTTTCGTGTGTTTATTTGCTACGCTTCGCATCTGTGTTTATAAAACGGACTTCACTATTTTGAACTCCCATCGGATGAAAAATTTGCATTTTGGTCAAGATTTTTCTAAATGGGATATTACTTAAAAATAAAATTTTGTTAATAAACATAATTGAAATTCAAAGAACTTCAACGTTCATGATTTTTAGGACCCATTTAACCAAGTTCAGACACTAATATAGCTCGTGATGATTTCGTTCCAGTCAGAGACTTGAAACGATTTAGTATAATACAGAAGTGTATTCATACATATTAATGCATATTCATAAATGCATTCATTCATATTAATGCATATATGAACGCTTCAAGGTTAATATGCACTATTTGAACTCTATTCAATTTCATATGACAAAAAATAGATAAGTTGAGCTCTCCAGTATCGAAAATGTAAAAACCACAAAAAACATGACTCTTCTAGTTTCGAAAATGGAAGTGGTTTCTCAATTTTTCCAGCTGAATAAAAACTTTGTATTGATCCATTTTTCTCACATTGAGTTTTTTCATAAAAAGCTCAATCATAAATATCCTTAATCTCACAGAACTGTAAAGCTATATGTTTTTGCTTTCAAATTCCAAAGTTGAATTTTTTTCAAGAAACAAGTCAGTTTTTTTGTTTCTGTTTCTTTGTATTTATCGACTGTTTCCCAACTGCTTGGTAATTTTGTTTGTTTTTGTTTGAATAAAAAGTCCAAAAATGCCCAAATTCCTTCATAATGGTAAAAGCATACATAATTGCACTAAGTTTCATATGTACCTGAGTTCAACTCAAATTAATCTGCTACAAAATTAGGTAAATTGCGCTCTTCAATTACGGAAGTGCAATGTGCGCAATAACTTCTAGTCTTAATGGTGAATTTTAATCTTTTAGAATTTATTATCGAACTTTTTTTCAAATGAAATTGAATTGAACTCAAATAGTGCATATTAACCTTGAAGCGTTCATATATACGCAGTTCAAAATAAAATAGCCGATTGCTGTGAAATTAGCACAGATTGATCCGACCAAAATACTGTAAGCAAAGCAGTTAACGTATAAAAATAGTTTTTTTTCCAAAATTTTTTTATCTTTCTATTTTTTCAAAAACTTTTCCTTTTCCCCATGTTTTCTGCATTGTAAAGCAAAAACCAAGATAAGGGGAGCATTAGATTTTTTTTAAAAAACTACGGTTGAGGAAAAATTCCGACCAGCGCGTTTACTGATAATATAATATTTTTTGAATTTTTTAGTGTATCGCGCGCCAGCAATTACATTGTGAGACCCATTGAGTGAAATAGATCCAAAATTTTGTCCAAAATGGTCACACTTGCTGTCAAAAATCAAAATTGCCAACGCCACTTGAAGAACGATTTTGAAGTCGTTTTGTAAATGCAACAAAACAACGTAATGATACGGTTTTAGAGCGTGTTTTGGCTTTAACTGATGCGTTACTTGATCAGTCGACTAGTTAGTTATACAAATTACATTTTGGTGCAAAAATTAAAACAACCAAAGAATCACATGTGTTTTGTCACAGTCAACGTGAACAATAAGGCCTGAGATTTCGTGTTTTTATAGTGGGCGGGTACAATTGCTGGCCGATAAAGTGCATTATACGTCAAAGTTAATTCAATATGGGGTCTTGGGGGATGCCGGACAAGCCGGAGCATCTGGATATGGGGCACCAGAAAATGTCGCATGTCGAGCTGGAGATGCTCACAGATAGACTTCTCAATCCATCTAGTCAGCGAAAGGTGAGGTCAATAGTATAACAAAAAACAGATATGATCACAAATCTTCTGTTTAAACCCCGTACTGCTCTTGGCACTGATCGAAACTTCTAACTGCTGAATCATTCTAATAATTCAGTTTATTAGAATGGTTTGAGCGTTTTTTTTAGACAATTACGCTCAAAATCTTGCTTCTAAATGAGCGGTTTGAGCGGTTTTCGAACAGTTTATCTAAAAAAACCGCGCAAGATTTGAACCGTTTTGTTTTGAGCGATTTATCTTAAAAAAACGGTCAAAAACCGCGCAAGATTTGAGCGGTTTTTCAGCGGTTTTTCTAGATAAACCGCTCAAAACCGTTCAAATCTTGTGCGGTTTTTGAGCGGTATTTTTAGGTAAACCGTTCAAAAACCGCTCAAACCGCTCATTTTGAAGCAAGATTTTGAGCGTAATTGTCTAAAAAAACCGCTCAAACCGCTCAAATCTTGCTTCAAATGAGGTGAAAAATCTCGAATCGGGTTGAGGTAAAAGTGTTTTCTAACCAGGATTCATTCAAAAAGCTTGTAACATTACGAGGCCAAACTGTGCATTTAGTAAATTTTAAGCGGATTTCGCAATAGGTCAAAATCAGATTTGTCGCGGAATCCGGAACATTGCTAATTTTTTTTGATCTTCTTCGCTGCTTTGGATTCCACAAACAAAGATCTAAAACACTTTTCTGCTAAAAATCGCACCAAATTAGGCAAATTTGCGGAATCCGCAACAGTATTTGTGGAATCTGTAGCGAAGAATGCTGAATCCGGAGTAGGTTTTGGAATCTGCTTATGTTTGCGAAATCCGCAAACAATTTGCGGAGTTGGCTTTGATTTGTAGAACCCGGAACTACTAGCTATATTTGCTCCTTGCAGAAACCACGAAAACACAAAATGCTGACAAATTTTACGTTACCGGAATTTGTACGCAGATTTCATAGAAATTCTGTAAACGGTAAATTTCATAGAAATTCTGTAAAAACAAGGATAGTCTGTTGCTGTGCGAGTATCACAGACTGTTCGAATCATATTCTTAAAGTTGTGTGATATGCGTTGCGATATCAATTGAAAACAAGTTGTAATTCAATACTGTATTCTGAATATTGAATTTAGATTTTCTCTTTTCTTGGTTTCTTATGTACTGAGAGATAGATCATTGTTAAGTACTCTGATCTCTCGCTTAATCTCAGTGTCAACACTTACGTATGACCTTGAGACTACCATAAATTAATGATTGAGCACCAGAGGTTAGATGTACATACGTATAATAAATACTGCTACTGCAGTAGCGGTATGACACACCCCCCACTGTGAAAGAAATAAATTATACAACATCAGTAGGATAATTTATTTAAAGAGTTTAATTTACTCAGTTCAAAGAAAAGTTTTTTTTTTCTGGTAATTGACGATTTTAGATTATGTATTTTTCAGTTTTCCTCCAGCTCGATTTCCCAACTCGGGTTCCAATCAACTCCCTCATCCAAGGTAGCATATCCGAATTTTCGCATAAATAGATGTCTTTCGAGTCGTCGCACTTTCGATTCTAATGGTCTGTCGTCCCGATCTTTAAAATCTCTCAGTTGGTTTCTGTATTGTCTAAGTGCCTCCTTTAGAAGACCTCTACCTGTAAGGTTTTCAGATATTTCTTTGATTGAATGTTTTATCGGATCTCCGAATCGTTTGGGTTCTTTGTTTTTTGTTTGTCTCGAATTTCGTCTAATACCTGACTCTTCTGCACTCGATTCGTCCGAGAATCCCTGTGGTGGTTCAAAGTTTGTGTCCAGTTCCGAGCTTTGTTGAGGATTTTCTCGAAGTTCATCCGCAACTCGCTGCACTCCTCTTTTTAACAATTGGTCCGCGTACTTCTCCCATTCAGACGGTGCCAAATTTCGATTGTGAAATGTGTCCACGATATCTTCAAGAGGAGTGTGAGAGTCAATGCCTTTCAGTTTCGGACGCTGTTTTGCTTTCGGCGTAGAACTTGACTGAATTTTGGTATCTACTGTGTCTGATTCCGGCTTAGATGTTGCTTTCTCTTGCTCCGAGTTTGCTGCAGTCGCAGCTTGATTTGTCCTCTGTTGTTTCTTGCTTCGGCCTTTCTTTTCCTTTCCGCTCTTTTCCGGCTTGTTTGTGATATTTTCCTCTGTATTTGGTTTTGGTCCCGCCAAATTGGGTTTTGCTCTTTTGACTGCAAGATTCAGGCCTCCCCCGGCTTCTGTGTCCTTTGAAGTGACTATTGTTTGGCTCCTCTGAAAGCGCTCTATTGGATTCATCGTATCAGCGATTTCCATTTCTCCTTGAAGTTCGTCCTCTGATCCCAGCTCCTCTAGTCGTTCTGGAGAGCTGACTCGCTTAAACTTTTTGGTGGGTTCTGACGATGGACTTTTACTCGTGCTTCGCTGGTTTTCTTGCGTCAGTACCGTTTTTGATTGAGCTATATCTGATTTCATATAGATCGAACCGGCTGATGTCCTAATTGTTGAGTCCGTTTCTGAAACGATTTTCCCCTTTAGTGGTCTGGTTTAGGCTTGTCCGCTTTTCCGTAGAGGGTCCTTTCGAAGTATAGTCTTGGTTGGTGACTTGCATTGGTTTTCTATTTTGTCCTCCACAAATCCCTTCTCCCAAGAGTAGATCATTTCCTTTCGGAGATCGGGATTGAGTTGCCCTGTCTCGTCCACTAATTTCCGGATGTCATTTTTAGCCGCGTCCCTTCTTTCGTAGTTCCAGCGGGCGTTCGCTTCCAACAATTCCTTTAGGGCTTTGGCTCTTTCTTTGTCTCTGTCCGATGTTATCTGCTGCTTGTGCAGTGGGCTTGTATCCCTGCTCAGTTGTCCCTTGCGCACTATCTTTAGATTCTCTCTCGACTGATCAATTCTTCGTTTCATTTGAGACGCAGTCAGTGCTGAGCGTTCCAAGTGTTGTTTGTCTAAAGAATCAGAATTATTTAAAAATTTATCCCTCACAATTTTAAATTCTGTTTTTGGTAGCCTGCCAAAATGTGCTTGGAACGGAGATACTTGAATTGTTTTCTGCTTGTTCCACCGTAAGTCTCTCATTATAATGCTGAGGCATAATTTGATTGATTTATTATTTTCATCGAGCATCATCACTCCCAGTCTTCTTTTTATTGTTTGAATTTTACGTTCAACCAAACCACAACCTCTTTGATCCCCCACCGGACAGAATTTTTGCTCGATATTGAGTTCCGAACAGAATTTTTTTAAAGTTTTTCCCTTAAATCCTGAAAGTTGGTCCGATCGAATTGATTCAGGGACTCCATGTGTGTCGATATATGATCTCAAGAATTTTACTGTGCTCTTTCCACTTGTGGACTTTGTAACCTTCACTGATGGAAATTTTGAGAATCGATCAATAGCTACTAAAAGATAGATTTTTTTTCCTTTTTGATTTTCTATAGGCCCCGCGTAGTCTAGTTGTACCTCCTGTCCCGGCTGCGTGAGCAGTGGCAATGGTTTTGACGAATTTTTCGAAATAAGGTATTTTACATTCTTACCATATCTGGTACAACTACGACACTCCTCTGCCAAATTCACGATGTCCTTATTCATGTGTGGCCACCACAGATATTGCGCTGGTCCCAACATAGCCTCCTGACCTGGGTGTCCTCGATGGATTCGTTTCAGGACAGCTTGTCGTAGTTGAACTGGTACTACTAGCCGATTATTCACCAAGATGCAGTCGTCCTGAACTGCCATCTGTGACCACAACGGATTTGTATAGGGTCCCATCAATTCGAATCCTTGTTTATCCCCTCTCTCTACCACTCTCCTGAGGCGGTCCATCCACGTGTCTTCTGTGGTCAGTTCTGCTAGTAAGTTTTTGTCGAACAGTTTTGCGAGATTGTCCAGGGTCTCCACTTGTTGCTGCTTTTGCAGTCCTGTTTTTCCTAGTCCCTTTGGCGGTTGAATTGAGCACACTTCCTCCTCACTCTCCGCCTCTTCTGTGGTTGTCAGGTCTACTTCTATTACATTCACCTCACTGAGTTTTCGTTCCGTCGATGCGCTCGGTTTTGGCGATGTTGAACTTGATTCGTGTTCCAAGTTGTCCCTGACTTCTTGGGTATGAGCCACCAGTTCTCGATTTTCCTGAACATTGTTTTCTCCGCCTATTAACTGCCAGAATGAGAGCAGTCTTTGATCCGCTACTCGTTGTTGTTCCGGTTCCAACGACCATTTTACTCGTTGTGCATGACGTGTTTCGCTGTCGGAACTGTCCCTATTTTTTCTGCCTCCTCGTATTATTTTTCTCGTGCGTTGGACTGTCTCTGTGATCTCCTCCTCTTCCGAGAGTTCGTTATTGGTGGAAAGTGATCGGTTCCACTTTGGGTCCATTATGCTTTCTTCGCGCTCCTCATTCCGCCATTCTTGTGGTGAGTTCGACCACCAGTCGTATGCTCTGTTTTTATTTTCTGACATCTCGATTCTTGAGTCTGTTTTTTCTATTTTGCTCGTTACTGGTCGTTTTTTTATTTTGCAGTTATTTAAGACTGACTGTTTAGTGGGTTGATTTGACGAAAAAGTGATTTGTTTCTGTTGAACTGTTGTGTTTAGCTGTTTTTGCAGTCGTGGAAACTGTTTTCTCTCGTTCCGGTCGAGCCTTGTTCGATTTTGACCGTTTTGGTTGCTATAGCAACCATTACTTGATGACTGTTTCGTAACATTCCTTCTAGAACATTCTAGAACGTTTTCGTTCCGGTTGAGCGACCTTGAGTCTTTAAGCCTACTGTTCCAGCAGTCGAACGCTTCATGAAAAGAGTTTATTGTCGCTACTACAAACTTTTCGTCTAATTCTGATTCGGGCCAGGGATCATTGAAAGGATCACGCGATAAATAATCAACTATGCCCATGTCCCTCCCCGGAATGTGAACTATGTTGAACTGATATGGCAGTAACCGGTCAACCCACCGGGTTAAACGTGATTGGTAGGTCTTGTTCGATTGATTAACATCCAATGCCGTTGTAAGCGCTTTGTGGTCAGTTGCGATGGTAAATGGTTTCCCCAGAAGGTAGTGTTTATATCTATCTACTGCCCAAACAACTGCCAATAATTCCAACTCATTTGTTGAATATTTTTTTTCTTGGGCATTTAAGTATCGGGATGCGAACGAAATTGGGGCCCACAACCCTTCATCATTTTGTTGTTCTAAAGTAGCCCCTAGCCCATCATGGCTAGCATCGCATTTAACTCGTGTTTCACGATTTGCATCGTAATAATGCATTTTCGTAATATTCGCCACAGCTCCTTTTATAGCATTAAATGCTACTGTGTGAACATCCCCCCACTCGAATTTTTTCACCGGGAGTTTCATGTTTTTTAACTTTTTCTTTTGATTTTTTTCTTTAAGACTTGGTCTTAATTTTTCAGTCAGACTGGCTACGTTAGGTATAAATTTAGCTAAGTGATTTATGCTTCCTAGAAATGACCTTAGTTGTTTTAGGGATTTCGGCTGGTTCAAGTTTACTACGGCTTCCGTTTTAGTGATTTTCGGTCTAACCCCTTCTTCTGAGAGATGGTGACCCAACCAATTCACTTCTTGTTTAAAAAATTCACATTTTGAGAGTTTCAGTGCCAAGTTTTCCGCATCCAATTTCTTTAGTACTGCTTCTACTAAGTTTGCATGTTCGATTTCACTTCCCTTTGACACAATAAGTATGTCATCCAGAAAACAGAACGTGTTTTTAGCGTGATTGATGGTTCTATCCATAGCCTTTTGAAATTCAGCTGGCATATCTGCTAGACCGTAGAACCCTGTCAAGAATCTGTAAGTTCCAGTTGCTTTTCCACCCACAATGTTAAAATTGCATTGTCTAGCTGTATCAGCAGCCAATTTTAGTTGACTGTACGCATATTTCAAATCTAACACCGAAAAATATAGCGTGCCCTTTTTGTTTTCAGTTACAATCTGGCTTACCCCATCAATAAGTTCATCTACATTCGGCATTTGGTATTTGTTTTTGAACAATTGTCTATTGATTGGTTTTGCATCCATTGCCAATTTTATTGAGTCGTCCTTCTTTACTGTTATCCCAATCGGGGCGATAAAGCAATCACTTGTACATTTATCAAGTTTTGTTATATGACCTTCTGTCAATAACTTCTCGATTTCTTTTTCGACCTTATCTTGTATGTGAATTGGGATTCTTCTCCCCTTTTCTTGAATCGGACATAGTGGGTATTTGAATTTTGAACTGGCAATGTGATTTTTTGAAGTGCCTTGCCTTTCAAATAAGTTTTTAAATTTTGTGAAAAATTTTTCTTTCCAACCTTCTGACTGCTCGCACATGAGCACGTCGAACCTGGTGAGTTCTTTTGGCGCCGGTCTTTGTGTAGTCACTATTCCCACTTGTCCTTGCAGATCTAATCCCATGATGCATCTAGTTTTTCGTTCTGATACCAGAAAGGTTGCGCCCTTTACCTCCCAGCCCGCTGACCTCAGATTGGTTTTCAGGGCTCCCAGGATACTGATCGGTTGTTTGTTGTAATCCACGAATTTGGTTTGTAAGTTCAATTTGTCGGACGGTATGAATCTCACTTTGTTTGATTTATCCATGATTTCCTTTGTCGTGGCCCAGTTAAGAAATGAAACAGGACTTCCAGTGTCCACTGTTAATTGAATTATCTGGTTATCTATTCGTACCATGGCTTTTAGTGATTTTACGCGATTCATTGTTGGCTCGCGAATAGAATCTATTTTCTGAACTCGTATCACTTTTCCGTTTGTGTTGTTTCTCATTTCGTTGATTCGATCTTTCACATATTTTGAAACTCGCTCATTTTCCGGTTGGTAGGTTTGTATTGACATAACTTCAAATTCACTACATGACCCAACACCTTCACTGATCTGGTCGCATTCCTCTACCGATCCTTCCGAATCTTCCGCAACTTCACTTACTTGTTGGGTTCTGCACATTTTGGCGAAGTGATTTGGTTTACCACAGTGTTTACAATTCTTCCCCATCGCTGGACAATTTTTTAGATGTCCCTGTTCAAACGTCCTTCCACATCTATTACATGATTTTGTTTTCGTGTTTTGAGTTTTGTTATTATTCTATCTGTTATTTGTTTCTCTTCTATTTGGAGTTTTGGTTTTCCCCCCCAAATTTCGAACTGCCATTACAGGTTCCTGTTTTATTCTCACACCCGATGTGTAATTGCTACTTGATCCTCCTGTAGCCGCAGCATTAGTCTTTTGAAATGCCATTGTGGTTAACTTGCTATGTTCGAATTTTATAGCCCTTTTTAGAACTTCCTCTGGATTCAGAGTTTCGAATGTCAACGTGTCCTGCAATGTCATGTTTTTCATTTTCGAGATGAACAAGTCTCGCACTATTTCATTTTCCAATGTCCCCAGTTCTGAACGAGCAGCTTGAGCAGTTAATGCTGCGTGGAATGATTCTAGCGATTCTCCAGATTCTTGCATTCTCGTAAATAACTTGTATCTTTCGTATGTTACACATTTTACCTTTTGAAATGAGACTTCTGCCAACTCTGTTATTTCTCTGAACGTCATTTTCGATATTTCTGCGTGCGGATTCTTTTGTAGGAATCTCTTCTTTCCCTCTGTGCCCAAAGATAGAAATAACCGTGACACCAGTTTCTTTTGTACTTCGTTGTAGAAGACATTGTGTCCGACTCGTGGGCCTCTTGTTTTTCTTTCTTCGTTCTCCAATACTACTCTGTCGCTTGCTAATTTATCTCTAAGAATCCTAGCGTTTCTCGCATCTTCGTTCTCCCCTTCCCTGGGCATTTCCGGGCGTGGTGGTGGTTCCTCTAATATGTCTTTTGGTTCTTCCAAAATAATCTCTGGGTTCACATTTTCTTTGACCGTAACCGCCATGAGAAATTGTTCGAACCAAATTTTGAATTGCCACGGAGGGTCTAGATTCGCTGATGCCCAAAATACCGGAATTCCCATATCCGTTCTGTTGTCTTGAGCTGCGAATCCTGCTGGCTGCGCCATGTGATATGCGTTGCGATATCAATTGAAAACAAGTTGTAATTCAATACTGTATTCTGAATATTGAATTTAGATTTTCTCTTTTCTTGGTTTCTTATGTACTGAGAGATAGATCATTGTTAAGTACTCTGATCTCTCGCTTAATCTCAGTGTCAACACTTACGTATGACCTTGAGACTACCATAAATTAATGATTGAGCACCAGAGGTTAGATGTACATACGTATAATAAATACTGCTACTGCAGTAGCGGTATGACAAGTTGCAATAAATTGCTTTTCAATTTAGCGTCGCTTTTATAGCCGTAGTAAAATAGGCATATTTGTCATTACCAAGATGGCGCCAAAAAAATTCGCTGGCTCATCATATTCTGTAGTTATATGATGAGCCAGCTATAATAGTCTTGCTTTAGTTATAATAAGATTTGTTGCCCGCTTTTCTCCCCAAGCTTAGACCAAAAATCTAAAATTTTAGGCCAATTCTTCTCGATCCTAAAAATATTTTTGTAATTTTTGAATGTCGTTCAAATCACGACTAAAATGGCTTGAATACGATATAACACTCAACGCTTTCCGATGTTATATTATGGCGCCAGCTTTTGCAAGGAAAACACACAAAAAAATCAACAAGGATTAGTCGGTTACTATGCAAGTAGCACAAAATGTTCCGATCATAGTCTTAGTAAAGTACATTAAAGTTTTTAAAAACTATTGTCTTTTTTCGGCGTGGTGTGATAAAAGGAGGTCAACAAAAAACTGGAGATTAGGTATATTCGACATTCATAGTAAAATAAGCAAATTAATAAACAATTTTCGTAGTTTTTTGAAGTTTTTTATTCTCAAAATGGCGGTTTTAAAACTCCAAAAACTAATTACACTCGAGTAAAACTGAAATTAAGATAGATAAGCTATTGTAAAGGGCCTAAATTAAGCATAAGTAAGCATGCTTGCTCGCTTTGTTCGCTCGAAATAGGACGAGAATTCAAAAGTTTCAAACTGGTGTTCTTGACACTCGAAACCGAAAAAATTTTTGGGACTTTTTTAATATCGTTCGAAAAGAAAAAGGGAAACACAGCCTAAGACTAAAGTGCTTCCCCATTTTCGATGGTCGGAACGAACAGCAAAATTAACAACAGTGACAAAAAAATATGTAGCTGCTGGTTTGTTGGCGTAAAAATATCTTCAACTGGCATTGGATGGAATGTTAAGTTTCAGAAGTTCTTTATTGGAAGAGTTTTTGAGTAAAAAACAGTAAAAAATAGTCCATTTGACAAAAAATTTGAATTTAATTTGATGTACTGCCTGTGGACTTTACTTGAAAATCGCCGGTCCAGCCATAATTTTCTACTTAGAGGGAACTCGATACTTGGTACCATTGAAGGGTATTGAGGTGTTGAGAGATAGTTTTTTATCAGATTGATTGCGCGTCAATATTTTGAGTCAAACATCCAATTCAAGCCAATCATTTGTCGTAACTGAAGTAGTATCGCGGCTTTTTCTGTTCATCAGACTGCGGGAGGAGGTAGGAGACAGATGAGATTCGCCACCTCGGATCACGACTCCATCTACGACACAGACAACCAGTCCAATTCAGAAGAACATGATGCATTTGGAGCATGGGAGGGGGAAGGGGAAGGGTACTCTGCGTTCTTGTCTAGGGAGTCCAGACCAATCACTAGATCCGTCACAAGGTCAGTACGCCAAAGATTTCAAGAAGCAATATGATTAAACTAATTTTGAACATTTTAATTGAGTTTCATTGAAAAAAGCCAAAAATGAATAAAGTCAAAAGGAAGCTGAAGGAGAGACAAAATATGATGATTGTTTTTTTAGCACGTAAATGGTTCGATTTTTTTTGATTACTTTTTTGTTCAAAGAGGGTCCAGATTCTCCAGCAACTTATACGAAGACAGTGGATCAAACCGCAGAGCTACGCCTTTTAAAGGGACAAAACCAATGACAGCTGATGAATTGGCTTCGTCCATACACCGACTCGCCTCTTCAGTCGGAACGCGACGGGGAAAAACCGCCGGAGGCAATGACTCATCACACAATCGAGGAATGTCGGCAAATGATTGGCGAGAACGGGACAGTGATAGTCGGATTATGCCGCTCGGACAACAACCGATGGATGCTCAAAGAATCAGCGACTTAGTAATACGATTGACCACTCCTAAGAGCAGCCACTCTTCTAGGTCCAGAGACACTTTGCCCAGCATCCGAAGAGTGAACCAAAAGCCGATGTCTGCACTGCAATTGGCAACTCTCACTGATCGACTGAACCGGTGCTCAGAAGCAGTCGACGCCCAGAGGATTCCCAAGCCAAACCAGAGAAGATTTGGAATAGTAAACTCGTTTATGTGGAAAGGGTGGAACTAAAAAAGGATCCCTACATAGATGATTGCTGATATGAAAATTCACTTTGACCGAACCCGTGTTCTATTATGTTTTGTTATATAAATAATTTTAAGATTGAATTATTTGTTAAGCCAATAAAAATATAACTAGTATATTTGATCAAATATTGGGAGAGTTGTAAAAAAAACAGGCACAATTGATATCATTTCGACACCTGATATATAGCGTTTCACACCAACTATTTTGCTTTAGAAAACTGGTGAAAAACTTAGGATATTAACACCGTACCGAATAGTTTTTTTTGCAAAGCTTAATGCAAATCTCCCATAGAATTTTCCCTAAATTGCTAACGGACCAAATGAATTTTCTCTTCTTTAGGATGTGTGGCTTTCTGTTTGTTTTTCTTTCACTGAACAAAAATTACTTTTGAACTTAATTTTTCGTTTTGGCGATTTAAATTTTTTTCTATAAAGGTTCATATTCTATTTTTTTAGTTCATTAACACCTTCCAACGGTCTGTACTCTGTAGGCTGCAATTGAAAGAAAAGGATGGTTGGTCAGTAAATCTATGTATCAGTAAATCGAAACGAGCGGAAAAGAATCAGTGAAATTGTCTTTTTGTTCCGAATTACTAAGGCCGATTTTTTATTCAGACCAATTTTTAAGCGAACAATTTCGGTGTGGGTGCTCGATCCCTGGATCTTCGTTTTCTCAGCGGGGTCACGCTCACCACTATACCAACTTGTCTCTACCATGCACATTAAAATTGAGGCAAGCTAATTAGTATTTTTAATTCATCATTTTCATATACATTTCATTCCTATATATTCATATAGTCTCAACTCATTACCATAAACTATTCGAAACTTGTTAAAGGACAGTCGGAACCTTCACAGTTTTGCTGTGATTAGCGAGCACTCTTGTTTGATTAAGTAAGACATGAATTGATGAGGAAGAGTTAGTAAAAATATGTTGATTTTTTTTCTCAAAAACAGAAAAACGAAAAAACAAAAACAAAAATGAAACAAAATCTTGTCATGTACTTCAAAATTTAAAAAAAGTATTCTAAGTCATTGAAGGTCGATATTTACCTTTACAAGAGCAAGTGTCTTGTAATCGGAACTAGGCTTTTTTCGCGTAGAAATTCTTTCTTACAGAACTTAATAGCTTTTCTTGCTTGATTTCTTATTGAACACTGAAAACTTCCAGGTTTGTTTCCACTTGGTCTTGAGGCAACGTGATTGCCTTTGTAACTTAAGATTTGAGGTTCCAGTCCCGGTGGGACTTTGTGTTTTTCAGTATAAAACTAAATTATAAAACTATTTTCAGGTAAAAATTGAATTGCCGGGTTTTCGTTTGTTTGCTTAAGTTTTGACGGCTTAGTTGCCAAATTACGAATTTTCCTGCGCTTTTCCTGCGCATTTTCGTTTTGAGTATAGTTACAAAAGCTTATTTATTGTAATCTCATAGAGAACTTGATTTTTTTGGCTCAACTGATGTATGCTAAAAAATTGTCGGCTTTGTTTCAGCTTCGTAAATTTTATTCCGTTGCTAACTTATTATTCAAAATTCGAACTTGCGAAAACTGTTTTTACATTTTCGATTTTTTAATATTTATGTTTTTAGGTATCGCAAGTGATGCGAAGCTCCGCTTTGCCTCTGTTTGAAAAATTTTGATTCCATAATTGTTACAATAATCACGTTGTTTCGTTGAATGATTTGGAAACTTACTAAATTTTGGTTCGAGCTATTGACCACTCCCCGTTCAGAGGCTTTGTATTTCTTCCATTCACCAGAAACTTCACAAAATTGGTCTTGTAGATTTGGAATCGAGATATCAATTGTCCTAACTATGTTCATTCAAAAATTAAGCTCCTCGTTTGACTGATACGAAATTCAAGCTAAATTATAATGAAACTTGCCATTTATCTACGCTGTATAAATATGAACACATTGTTCAAATGTGAAACACCTGGTTTATGAGAAACATTTATGAAAACAATGCCTGAGCTGTTCAACTTGCTTGCATATGTTTGAAGCAGTTAATCAGGGTACCTAGCCTCAAAAAATGTTTTTTGTTACGATTAACGAAGGATTTGGGCTTCTTTTTGACGAAAATTCAGGTACCACAAATAAACGCTAGATTGGCTTGAATGGCACGCCATAATCAGAATAGTCACACGAAATAAGCCCAGAAAGTTCCAACCAAAAAAAAACTAAAATTCAAATAATTTTGTCCCAAGTTTGTGCCACATTTTGTTTGCGTGTGACTAGATGAAAAGAACAAGTCTGAAGCTTATAACATAAAAAGGGCACAAAAATTAGTTGTTTTGAAAAAATTAACAAACAAAAATTTAAAAATTTTCGCTGTTTTTGAAAAAAAATTATATTGCCAATGAAACGCTTCTAAAAGCTTCGAAATCTATATATTTTTGAAATAACACTTAAATTCTTTGCCTAAGTAAGCTTATTTTTATTATTATGAGACCTACTTGTTCGCACAAACTTATAAGGCCTACTTTGTTTGCACGAATTTAGACTTAATCAAACATTTTAAACCTTTTTTTGACACCGCAATAAGGAATTACGACTGAGGGGGTGTTAATTTGATACAATTTTGACCCACTTTGAGAATTATCTGTAGACCTAGCTTTGCGTGGAAAATTGGCGGTAATTTTTTTTGGCGGTAATAAAACATTTTTCTTGGTATCCAGAAAAAGAGTGAATAGACTGTACATTATTTTAATCAGCATCGGAAATGTTAGGTGTAAGAACAGTTTGAGATACATTCAGAATTTATCAATATATAGCATCAAGCGACTATTTGTTTTTTATGCATCAAAAAAGCAGATGTGAATGATTTTAACAAAGCACAACGCTAAGAAAAACTAATAAAAATTTCCAAAACTTCTGCAATATGTAAGGAAACAGAATCCTTTTTAAAAATTTCAAGTAGCTCCGCTTAATTGAGGCGTAAAATTTCAATCTTTGAATAACCTTTGCAAATAAATTTTAAATTCAATTTACAATTAGCTCAAATTTTTTCATGTATCTAACCATTGTAAGCGGATTCTGCAACACGCAAAAAAAATTTACCCGGAAGCCGCAACCTTGCTAGTTTTTGTTGATTTTCTCTGATCTTTTGAACTCCACGAATAAATAATCAAAAACTTTATTGCTCAAAATTGCTTCGAATACAGGCGAATTTGCGGAATCCGCAGAACTATTAGCGGAATCTGTTGCGAACACTGCTGAATCCGGAATAGGTATTGAAATCTGCCTAAATTATAAGACTCCGCTTACAATTTGCGGAATTTGCTTTGAATTGCGGAATACGGAACAAATAGCTATTGTCCGTCGCTTGTTACGGAGTCCGTGACAAAACTAATGCTCTGAAGAAATACCTTACAGGTATTTGTAGTCGAAATCTAAGAATTTTTTTGCGGAATCTACTACAATTTTGAACATTTTTAAAGACTCTTCTCTGGATTCCAGTGACCGACAAGCACCAAACTGTGCGCTTTTTGATCTATTGTTTTAAATTTTTTATTGTCTTTTAAGCAGTAGAAGTAATTGAACTAGCCAATCAACTTAAAAATATTACGTAAAATATCAAAAAAAAAAATAAATGATAGAAATTTGGAAAAAGTACTTATCACGACCGCAAGTGTTTGAATAAAATATATGACTCGAACTCTTTCGACGAAATGTTTTGATGCCTGATTTTGTGTGGAAAACAAAAATTAAATTGAATTATCTGATAATTTAAAGAGATGCAATAAGTATACAAAACTGACGTTGTTTGGAAATCAAAACATGTTTAACCAGAAAAATATAACCAATTGATCATTACCTTGAACATAGTCGTCTCGGAATTTGTGTAGAATCGATTTGGACTTTTTGCTACCCATTTTTTTTTCATTTTTAACAAAAGCGAAACATCAAGACAACTCAGATAATGAAACAGTACGCAAATTCTTTTAACCAAGTTTTTTGTTTGTTCTGGCCATTAAAATGGGGAGGAATTTTGTATTCGTTTTTTTTTTAGTTTTTGTTTTCACTTAAAATCAGTTACAGCAAATACTAATCGGAAGGGTTCAGGTGATATATCATTGTGAAATCCTTTTAGTTGTGATTCTTATGACTTCTAAATTATTTCAAAAATTAACCCAGTATTGAGAAAAATTTGTTCAAAATTTTTTTGATTTTTAGTCTAAATTCGTGTGAATAAAACCAGCAAGCTGCAGGTTTACAATAGGAGGAAAAAGTTTTTTATAGTTAATTTAAGCCGTTCGAAAAAAGTTTTTAACGCTTTTATTAGCGCCGTTTTGGGAATAAAAAATTTTAAGATTTTTTGTTTTTTTAGTTATTTTTCTTTACGCTGTTGACCAGTTTTGCCTATTTTATGCCTGCATGACTATCGAATATGCCTTAGTTATCATTTTTTGTTCAGATAAAAAGATGTGTTTCGTAGTTTTTTTAGACTATAGTACCTGCTTTCCTTGTTTCATTTTATTTTTAGACTCTCGTTTTCAAAGTTTTATTATTTGAAATTTGATTTGCTTCTGAAGTTTAAAAATATCAAAAGGAGGTCACTGTCCATGGTCCGGAATTCAGTCTATCGTTAACTAAATGTGCTTCTTTTTTGTGGTTTCCATGATTCTTACATTTCAACAAAAGATGCCGATGCTTGAAAACTCAAATCGATCATCCCCTCTTTGAAAACAAAAGACAATTTAGCGGTGTCATTTCAATGTCTACTTCTCTAGTAGATATACCAACCAGTTTGTATTTGGTATTGTTGTGGCTAAACATCTGCAATTCACATGTCAATGCGTTTTATGGTAGCAATCAAAAGATCATATGAATGGAAGTCGAAAAAAATCTGCATAATAATTCTCTCTAGCGCATGAGAATTCCGTCTTTTTACAGTACTTTATAAATGAAATTGATCTTCAAATAACCACCTTTTACGTTTTATTTGGGCCTCCACTAAATATCAGTAAATATCTGATGGTTCATTCAAAGTATCCTGTTGATGGTTTCCAGCATATACATTTTTTAAATGGAGCGGGATACTACTGATACCTCTTAGGAACTTCTGAAACCGGTTATACATGACTACTACTCAGTCTAATAATATCCAACATAACAATGGCTTGATGACGATGAAAAATGGAGCGCCGGCCATCTCTCATCCTTCTGTTGATACGAAGAGAGCCTTCACTTGCCTCGCAGACCTCAGCCCCTGGTCATCTGAGTCACCCCTGCCACGGGAGATCACAAATGTGCCCAATGAGTTGCTGGAGAAGTACCCCCACACGAAGAGAGTGGGCAACTATTTGCTCGGCAAGACGCTAGGGGAGGGGTCATTTGCAAAAGTGAGAGAAGGACTGCATACTGTCACGGGCGAAAAAGTTCGTAATTGTTTAAATTCCCATGGTAATTGGAATTCAGTTATAAATTTACTTATCTTACTGCTCGAAGCTTCTCAAGCTAATGTTATTCTGTAACAGGAATGCCCAAAGAGCTGTTTGATTTTATGCAATTGAATTGATGTCAGTTGAAGACGCTCTAATGATACAATTTATAAATATTATCTTTAGAAGAACTTTTTGTTAACCGTACGACTAGTTAAACTATGAATAAGTTTGGGAAATAGTTAATGAGTTTGACCTCAAAGAGTTTTTTTAGGTGGCCATCAAAGTGATTGACAAGCGACGCGCCAAAGAGGACTCGTATGTGCATCGGAACCTCCGACGAGAGGGCAGGATCCTGCAGTTAGTGAGACACCCCTGCATCATTCACTTGTACGACATCCTGGAGACAGAGAACAGCTACTACCTGGTGATGGAGTTGAGCACTGGGGGAGACATGATGGAGTATTTGAAGTTGAGAAAGAGTCTGCCTGAGAAGGAGACGAGGAAGTATATCAGACAGATAGTGTCTGCTGTGGATCATCTGCACCGAGCCGGTATACTCCACAGGTATGCTGTCTGCTTTCAAGTGAACTTTGCGGCCAATAAACATTCTACAAATGGTGACAGAGAGAAAGACATTTGTGACATATGGCAGATAGAAATTTATGAAACTATTGTCTTTTCAGGGATCTGAAGGTGGAAAACGTGTTGCTGGATGAAAAGAAAAATATCAAATTGATAGGTGAGAGTCTTTATTTCTGATTGATTGAATTATTTTTCAAAAATTCTTTTTTGAACTATTCTGAAGTTTGCAAACCATCTGATAAGCTAGAGATAATGCTTAGCTCAAAAAGCTGCTGTATTCTTTCTATTTTTCAAATATTTGATTTTCGAATCTTTATCTTAAGCGATCATTGCTTATTGGGCTAAAATCAGGGGG